GGCATGGCCGTGGCATGACTTACTGTGGAGGTGGCAGCTTCCTGCTGGGGGAGAACACGAGTGGTGGATCTGGAAAGGCCACGAGGACACGGCGGGGACGTCACGGGGCGAGCAATGAAAACGGGACCATGAGGTGACAGATGGGCACCCCCCGGCCCTGCCAGCCCCCCAAACCTGTGCCAGGCCCGTGCCCAGTGCCACACCACCCCTGGGAGCGCTGGGATCACCGGGATGGCCAGGATCGCTGGGATAACCAAGATGGCCGGGATCCAAAACGGGACCATGAGGTGACAGATGGGCACCCCCCGACCCTGCCAGCCCCCCAAACCCGTGCCAGGCCCACACCCCGTGCCAGGCCATCCCCGGGAGCGCCAGGATGCGCCGGGATGGTCGGGATCACTGGGATCACCAGGATCACTGGGATGGCCAGGATCCAAAACAGGACCATGAGGTGACAGATGGGCACCCCCCGACCCTCGGGCAGCCCCCCAAACCTGTGCCAGGCCCATGCCCGGTGCCACACAGCCCCTGGGAGCGCCGGGATGGCCGGGATGGCTGGGATCACCGGGATGGCTGGGATCACCAGGATTTCTGGGATCACCAAGATGGTCAGGATGGCCAGGATCACCGGGGTGGCTGGGATCACCAGGATCACTGGGATGGCCGGGATCGCTAGGATGTTTGGGATCACCAGGATGTCCGGGATCACTGGGATCACCGGGATGGCCGGGATCACCAGGATCACCAGGATGTCCGGGTCACCAGGATGGCCGGGATCACCGGGATGGCTGGGATCACCAGGAAGGTCGGGATCACCAGGAGGGCTGGGATCACCAGGATGGGCGGGATGGCCAGGATCACCGGGATGGGCGGGATCACCGGGATGCCCAGGATCACCAGGATCACTGGGATGGCCAGGATCCCCAGGATCACTGGGATGGCCAGGATCACCAGGATCACTGGGATGGCTGGGATCCCCAGGATCACCGGGATCCCCAGGATCACTGGGATGTCCAGGATCCCCAGGATCACTGGGATGTCCAGGATCACCAGGATCACTGGGATGGCTGGGATCCCCAGGATCACTGGGATGGCTGGGATCCCCAGGATCACTGGGATGTCCAGGATCACCAGGATCCCCAGGATCCCCAGGATCACTGGGATGTCCAGGATCACCAGGATCACCGGGAT